TCCTTCCTCAGAGCATCGGTGAAGGATCTGATAGCCGCCTTCGTGGCGCAGTAGATGCTACCACCAGGGTATGCCTCACGGCCAGCGATACTGCCAATGTTGATGATATCTCCTCGACCACCATCAGCCCTCTTCTTGAAGATGGGAAGGATAGCCTGAGTCATGTTGATCAGTCCGGTAACGTTGGTCGAGAACATGATGTTGATGTCTTCAGCTTCGATTTCTGGGGCCTTGGCAACACCCTTAACGAGGCCTCTGTATTCTTCTTAGTATGGACTTGGGATGGACCCTGGAACAAAGTTGTGACTCACGCATTGTTGACCAAGACATCAATCTCCTTGAACTCCTCGGGCAGAGAAGGCACGAATTTCTTGATATCTTCCGGGTTGCTCACATCCAGCTGCACAGGCAGCACCTTCACGCCCTCACCAACTTCCTCCTTGATCTCCTTGGCCAGCTCCTGCAGAGACTCGATCCGTCTAGCAGTCACGATGATCTTCAAGTCCTTGGGAGAAGTGCGAGCGAATTCCTTGGCAGTGCTTCGTCCAATACCGGAAGAAGCACCAGTGACGAGGATGGTCTTGCCTTCAAGACGCTTTGCCATTGCTGTCGCCATTGTGCGTTTGATGAATGCTGGCCTGATCGCAGCACGAAACGGAAGTGGGGTGGATGCGGAGAATGTCCCGGATGAAGGGGATAGCTGTCGCAGGGATCTGATAGTGCTGTGACACGCTTGTAAAAGCCGCATAAAGAGCCTGTCAGCTGGCGTTGGTGACGGTTAAGTTAAGGAGAAAAGGTTTCAAATCGGACGAGAAGACAGGGGCTATTGGTGGTTTCTTATGAATCACAGGCCGAAGGTCGGGATGGCGTGCGGGGATCCGGCGAGGCCATTTCGTGCTCGGGCCGGGGGGCCTGGCCTCGGCTGATGGTTATGCCGGTCGGACTGGCTTCCGATGGCTGCTTTACATTCTTCCAGCTTCTGCTTCTCCCCCTACTTTACGTCTGCTGGGATGGATGGCTCATTGGCGATAAGCTCACCCCTTTATTCGACACAAAGCGCTACCAGCTTCTCAAAGTACACTTTTGAGTCATTTATCAACATGAGTACGTTGACTCGACCTCCAAAATCTGTCAATATATGTCTCTTGAAAAGTTGACTCACCCGTTGAGTGAACTCGCTCGTTTTCCGATTGCCGGAAACACCACGGGATAACAAGTCATACAGAGACAATTTTCAAGGCCATTAGCAGAGGATGTCATGTTTATGCTTAAACAGAGCTTTCCTCATCCAAGCATACCATCTTGTATGGTTGACTAGGCCCGACGAAAGCATTAACCATCCGGACGCATGCAAGATTCGAACTGACACTGCTGATAGACCACGGCCCACGATCTTCACAGACCAATCTTTCTTACCTATCACATATATTTTTCCTTCTGTTATTGGCGCCAGTGTGGGAATGTCCGTGAATGGCAGATACCCTCATACGACACAGACGGATCGTTTCAGTTGGCGATAGCTTAGAAGCGGGAAATTTTCGAAGAAAGAGAAACCAAATCCATTTTCCCACAACATTCCTGATGATAAATCTGGCATTTAATGTCACGGCGATGGGGGAAGCAGTTCATTAGCGATCTTGGCCTCTTGGCGACCTTGACCTTTTGGCAATCCGATGACCATGAGATAGTCCTATGGCCTGCGCAATGAGCGGCCACGAAAACCAAATCCCCGAAAAGCGGGCTTTGCTTTTTCAGAATGCAGAATACGCCAAGGCTTCCATGTATTTCTAGGTAAATAGCTGTGCATGACTAGGCAGAACTAGCCTATTGGGCTGGATCAAGACTTATGCTACCTGTCTGCGAAAACTAACTACCAAGACAAAATCGGACATAATTACCTGTTGGGTCTGTTGGACACGGAGTTATCGCATTAACTTCAATAAAGATGACGCCAAACGACACAAAGCCACGGGTCCGTGAAGAAAGCTACCTATTCGCCTTGATAATGGCGACATGAAAGGATCAGTGCGAGGCGACAGCTATAAAAAGCCACTGGGCATATGATAAAGAAGATCTTCCTTCGGATACTTTGATGTGCGAGTTTCCAGTATTGGTCTGGTGCTGGCGATCGTTTGTTACCGAACGTGCTAGCAAAGAGCTCAAGAGTTCAGGCCGCGTTCGTACAGTCCATCCAGTGCATCCACTATGATGAAAGACAAGACAGCCTAGTTTGAACGAACCACGGACTTCAGGGATCTGCAAACTCCAAGCGAAGAGATCGTCATCCCGGTTTTCAACCTTAAGATCATGTGCTCGGGCACGATAGGCACGCTCTCTGGTTGTAGCGCGTGTATGAGGTGCCAGGCACTATGAATGCTCATAACGTTGACACCTCAATATTCGTGGATTTCACATCAGTAGGACTGAACTGACATAGTATCTACCAAGCCACGTTTTAGTACGAAGAATAGGAACAAGGAGGTTATGAGGTAACAGAATTTGCGAGCATACAGTAGCGAATCACGGTACCAAGCCAGCAAATCTAAAGCCCGAAAACCGAAGTCAATTAGTGAAGTGTATTCCTTTTTCGGCGAATGGCCGGCGCTCCGAGGGGCGTTGATTGCGGGATTCGGAACTCATGGTGGTTAAGAGGTTAACGCCAGGTAATCAGGTCCGACGTGGTAAGTAGTCTTCGGGATCCTCAGCCCTATTGGAGGAATCACAATTTGTAAACGAAAATGTCTATAGGAGATTAAGGTTGGGGTCGAAGAATCAAGGAATCTTGGACTATTCTTCAGCCATGTATGTAGACTTTGAGCCCGGAAGTGATTCCGATGCTCGTGCAATGTTTGACAAAAGTCCTGAGGCCATGACTTGGACAGTCCGTCATCTGAAGAAGGTAACTATTGAAATGGTCTTAGTATCTCCTTGTCGAAGTACCTGGCAATTGCTTTGGAATTGGGGTTTGGGGGCAGTGGATTGTCAGGGATAGTGGCTGGTCACTCGCTCTTTGATCGCTTCGGTGCCTCCTTTCCCTTTTCCCTCTCCGGCCGACGATCATCGCTAGCTTTTGACACTCCTCCAGAGCCCCAGAGTCGAGACATCTGTGCCAATGAGAAAGGCCTCATGTTCCAGGAAAGTTCGACGGGCTATTTCCGTGGGCCAAAATGACATTATTGACATTTGACACAGGTCTATTCCACTGTTGACACCTCCCTCGTCCGTCGATCTTCGCACCTTGACTACATTGTAGTCTTCATTCCAAAGCATTGGATTTGCACTTCAGTTGCAACCTACCCCGTTGCACGTACCCCATGGTATCTATCGTGCAACTGAGAACTGCCCCTTTTGTGACACCTGGAACTTCGCATGGGATGGTGCCTTGAGAGGACCATGGTGGGGACTTATCCACCCATTAGTTGGCACCAATGAACGAAACGCCACCACGCATAGGCTCAAAGACAAATACTCAGCTATCGAGACCAAGCTTCAGAGCCAAAAGGCATTTAGTCATCGGGTTGCATGGCAAGAAAATCAAATAGAACGTCGGGCAGCTTCCCCGAACTTCCGTAAAAGGTCTCTGCTGCGTTCCTTTTACTATTCAATGGTGGCGCTCTACCAACTGGCTGGTAGTGGACATCCTTTGCCGCTTAGAGCTTACCCGGTGCAGCAATAGCGCGGCGCTATCCAGCCTCGTCCTCCCAATCCCCTTTGGACCTGCATGAGGGACCCATCGTCTATTGATGATCATAGCCACATTCTCGCAGCCGCACCGCTGAATTGGGATGAGAATTCTCAAGAGCCGTAAGACAATCGAACCCCGAGTCTTCCTTCGGGTTCCATTCCCCCGGAATCATGTATGTCATTTGAATTATCGAGCCACGAGGAGCAACAATGGAAAGCACGCCCCTGTTCTATGCAGACTCGATGCGAGGGTTGTACAGCATTCTCCACATGCAAGCTCGGAGTCCACAGCTTTGATGCAGCCAAGCCTGGCAACGGCTGCTGGCTTGCGACCTGGACTCGTATGGTCCCTGGAGGCACGAGTCATGCGAAACAAACAATATCTCCGCTCACAATACACGCTACCATGTGGAATAGTAGTTAATATCGTCTGCCTTCGTCTTGGGCATCCGCGGTTTCAGTGTTCCTTTCATTTATGAACAGGTGGCACAGCACTTAGTGTCCAGGCAAACCATGCAATTTTAAATCTCTACCTGGTCAAACTTCGGCCATGGTGTGCTCTGAATTGATGTGATCGACGGTTACAGGTGAGGAAAACGGAAATAGAAGACTATGACTACTAGTAGTTATCGCTTGTCGCCCAAGGTTGCAAGGAGACAGGGACCTGCGTGGACAATAGCACAAAGCGCGGACACGCTGCCTATCGAGCACTCGAGCCTACGTCAAAGACTTCCCCAAATATGCCGATCAATCACTGAGCAGATAGCGATCTATCGTTTTAGGAATTTTCCGACCAGTGATGGATGATAAGTGAGAAACCATGGTTGCTGTTGTCCACGTTTGACCGGAACGGGTGAACGCAGAGGATAAATGTAAGAAACTGGCGAACGCTAAGAGAATATCTGCTCCACAGCGAAGCTGATTGTGCGAACTGTTGTTGACTTTCTTTACGACAACCCACAATCTCAACATGCAAGTTTAGCTTTTATCGAGGCGCGAAACCTTGTTGGGGAGGAGCCATCCGGGGTCTTCCGCTAATCGGGGTCTGGTGATGGGCATCTTTTGCCCTGCTATGCATACTCCTCATGTCCTTGTTGCCTTGGACATACCCTAAATTGCCAATGTTAGCCAGAACCCAGGCTCCCAGAAAGGAACTAGTTCATGCAAGGCATTGGACTAGAGATCTCGTGTTTCTCCTCGCTTGGTGACCCACCGCCACGCTGAAGGGCAGATCATTTCTTATCTTGATCTTTTCGCATGGATCGAATGACATGGACGAGCGAATGAATGCTCGAAATCGTGCCATACACGTTTTAGTCTACCTAGTGCCAGAAGACTCCTATGCCGCTTTAGGATTGTGTGCCTCCACCGACACTATCCACACCAGCACGGTCGTGGCCGAGTCTCATCAATTTGAAACCCGTGGAAGAACATTCTTCAACATCATCTAAGCCAGATTGAGAAAGCCACCCGGCTTCTCCATGTGGCTATTGATCCTGGTCTTATTTTGCAGCATCCCGGGGACTTTGCTTGGGGTCACTTAAGGGGTACAAGATGAGCTGGGAATACACGAGCCAGAAGGTTGAACCGGGCATTTTGTGTTCTTGAACTTCCCTCCTCTTCTTAGTGGAGCCAATCTAGCCGAATCAACGGTACCGTACGAGGGATATTGCCAAGTCCGTACCAGCCAAGTCGAAAAAAGCACTATACTCCAGGAGGGAAGTTCTCAAGACACCATTGTGGCGTCCCATGGATCGACCATCGGAGAGAGACTCCAGTGACAGGGCGTTGGGTGCCATTCTGGGTCTCGCTCTACAGGCCGCCGTCTTGATTGACTAATGTCTCCCCTACAAGCGCATCCACTCTGCCGTCTGCCCACGACACCAGTGGAGACCGACAGCTTAGTGCCATAGATCATTACTGCAATTTGGAAGGAGTCCGGGTCATGTAGCCACACTGTGCCGGGCAACACCGAGCTGAAATTGTCTACTACGTATGCTATGAATCTCCATTCAGGGCACCCCAGCAGTCTAGCGGCCTTCGCACGCTATTAACTACTATCAAACTTTGAGCTATTGCGGGGGGTATTCGGGCTTAATTCGCTGGACTGTTAAAAGCAGGACCCCCGATACTTTTCTTTTCCCTCTTTAACCCCGGTGCAGGATCTTGAAAAGCAACCCTACTTCAAGAGTTGGCGGTAGCCCACACATTCCCTTCTTGAAATCTTGTCGGTGCATATTCGACCCATGCGGTAAAACACGTTCCGGCCTCTAGGTTTAAGAACCTGGAGACTGTACATCTACGCAGATCGATCTATTGACCGCAAACCAATGCAATAACGACAACCTACGCTTCATCGTTTACATCACAAATCACACGCTCTTTTGTGCAACACTTATCTGCTCAACTGGCCCACTCCTTTGCCATGCTGGACGAAATGATGGGAAGCATGCTGCTTCCCCGGACTACGGATGATGATACAGCTCGCGGACAGCGAGCCCTGGTAGTGACAGCCGTGCTTACCGCAATCTCAATCGTCATCGTCGCCATGCGAATGTATGCGCGAATCGGGATAATGAAATTGACTGGTCGTGAAGATTATACGATTCTCATTTCTTTGGTACGTATCCTGGATAGGGGATTTGAATGCTTGCTGGTAAAGTGGCTTATATTGACATTGATTGCATGTAGGTGTTAGCATGCACTTATCTTGGTCTTGTTGCTGCTGGTAGGTTGTGGCCATCTGCCAGCCACTTGGAACACCTCTCTTACATGCTGCAGAGGTACATTTTGGACTCGGAAAACATGACGACGATTTGTCCGACGTTGTTGTGAAAGAACAATTAAAGGTAACACTTCCCAATACTACCCAGTCTCTAAACCTATACTGATCCTCTCTGTCATGAAGCGACTCTGGGCTGCTATCCCTTTCTATAACGCCAGCTTGATCTTTACCAAATTTTCCATTCTTTTCCAGTATCTTCGGATCTTCCCCGACCGTCGCTTCCGGCTTGCCTGCTGGATCGTGTTTGGTATTGTGGCTACTTACGGAACATGGGCAGTGGTCAGTGGTTTCTTGAACTGTGTACCAGTGGCCAAATTCTGGGACCGCAACATCTCCGGCTACTGCCTTAGTTTCGAGGCAGTCTGGTTCTTCAACGCATCGATGAACATCGCTACAGACACGACCCTGTTGATCCTGCCGATGCCTCTTCTGTCGCAATTACAACTTCCGCGCATGCAGAAATTGGCCCTTATGGGTGTCTTTGCTGTCGGTGGACTGTAAGTCATGGCGATCGCCAAGTTGTCCAATACATGCTAATCGCTACGCTCCAGGGTTGTAATCACAAGTATCCTCCGTCTATCCAGTCTACGAAGCGTAGCTCAGAGCACCGACACCTCTTGTATGTACACTTCCGCCGCGGATCTTCTATGAGATTCAGACTGACAAACGAATCAGACAGCAACGTCGGCGCTGCCTATTGGACCGCTGCAGAATGCAACGTCGCCATCATCTGTGCATGCCTACCATTCCTTCGTCCGATCGTCAGCCGCCTCTTCCCTCGCTTCCTTTCGACCAACAGCTACAATCGCTACACCCGCAACCCCACCATGTCAGCCAGTCGCATGACCGCCACTCGGATGACCGCGCGCTCGCACCGGCAAAAGGTCGAGCTTTACTCCCAAGACCGTGACTACGGCATGTACACCATTGACGTCAAGTCCGGTGAAGCGAGCCACGATGGCGCGCTAGACGGAATCGCAGTCACCACGACGACAATGATTCAGGAGACATCGAGAAACAACGACGAGTCGACCAGCCAGCGTCGGCTAGTTGTGGATGTTTAATGATCATTTATGTCTCTGACCTTTCGCAGTTTCGCACACACTCATTACTTCCCATATATTCACGAACTTACTTTCTTCTGATACCACGATGCATGATATATGACGCTGCATCTTCAACATTACCCCTTCTTTTTCATATACTCTTTGATCCTGATATCCCATACCTGCACTTTGTTTCACGCATGCATACCGACTTACCTACCGATCCACCTTCGTGTACATTCTTCTCATTCTCCGGATGTCTAATCATCGACGACTTTATGACCATGCTACAATTTTAAACCCCCTCATTCTGTTTCTCGGTTCCATGTACATTCATTTTCTCCCATCTTTCGCTCATCTAACGAGCTCCTCAAATAATCTCTCTGTACAACAGACACTAATAGATAGTAGACGGCGAAAACCGGCAACAAAGTAGATAGATAGGTAGATAGATAGACCAAAGGATAAAAAAATCAAACACCACTAGAACAGACCAACCTAGCGTCCCGGATAAATAGAAACCCGCCCCCTACGGAGTATTTATCTACCTACCCACCCAAATCTAAGATTAATAATTCTCACACGGTCAGAATCCCCCCTCCCCCTCTCTAATCTTAATCTTATCAATCGCATCACATCATACCATATCTCAATTAGTAGTGACATTCGCCAGATCTAGAACAACACCCCCTCACCCTCGTCTATACCCCTCCTTTGCAGGACAGTAGATAGATAGATAATGCTATTATAGACCGATACAGCAGGAATCTCTTCTCGAATCTAGTAATCCACACTCAGCTAACACTCACTATCAACCACTAATCAGCACAATTCAATCAATCGAGATAAACGTAGACGTCTATAGCATACATACTAAGACCTATTTCCACTACTTTCAATCCAGCTACAATCATTCTCAAGGATAAAGACCTCCCTCAGCACACACACAAACAATCACTAAACCCGCCCCCACACACACATCCACCCAAAATCCCAAGCTTTACTACGTAGTACGTACATCCAGCCCATATTCATGAAATCAGAACTCTGATGATCATAATAAGCGATGATCCTCCGAAATTAGCCGAACCAGTCAGTCAGTTTATAACCCCTACGTAAAATGTACGTAGTAAACTAACCAGCCGTATACTTGTTCCACTCAATTATCTCTCCAGACCGCAAAACCCGGACGTAGAATCTACTATTTACTACCGGTAGAGATGGGGCAGGAAGAAGAACACAGAAACAGAAAAAAGAAACAAGTATTTTACCTATAGATAGATAGAGAGAACTAGTAGTTATCTACTATCTATGATAATCTAACTCCAACAATGATGCACAACCCACCTACCTGTATTATAGCTACTTCTTGTTCTATACGTGTAAATATTTCGTTCGCAATGTGACAAAACAGCGATCGACTTGTTTTTGTTTTTGTTTTCGTAATGAAAGAAACAGAAAGAAAAAAAAAGCCGAAGATCAAATCAAATCAGATCAAATCCCTTGCAGTGAGGGGTAAAATCTGTTAGACTAGACTAAACAATTGCGATGAAATAATAACAATTACATGAGAATAATACTCTTAGCTGTAGGAGAGATTTTTGAGTACTGGAAAGGCCGAGGTCGGGCCGATCCGATCTAGTGAAAAGGAAATCTGGCAGTTAAGCTTATCAATCAGTCAATCTATGGTTGAGAGATAAAAGTTGATTTAATCAATCGGTCGCTACAGGCTCGATCAAAAGATCTTAGTGATCTAGTTTACTTTAGATCAATAACAGCCATCATATGATCTTGATAAGTCCCATATTACCGAAATCTATTCAGTTATTCCATGACCTTACGAACACAGTCATCTCACACCCGGTTATCCCGTGATTAATAGCCTTGTCCACACGTCCGTCCGCCGGTACAGATTTAAACAAGGTGAAGGGGAGAGTGAGAGAAGAAGAGAAAATTAAAGTGTAACAAAACAAGCCTCCGTAATATCTTTCTTTTGTAATCGCTTATCCCGCCAGCGCTTCAAACAAATTAATCCCAAGTAAAATAAATGAAATGTAGAGAACTTTTTTCCCTTAATAGTGCACAAGTCCCGTGAAACTCATCGTGTTGCAAATGGTATCTCGTCAGAAAAAGTCTGCGCCAAATATGTGATTGGTGAAAGAGTAAAGGTAGAGAGCAATAGCAGCATGCACAGTCCTTGGACAATTGGATCCATGATCATTGTTGTCCTAGTTCCGCTAGCTCTCGCTCCTTTGCTCGCAGCATCTCTCTCATCTCTTCCGCTTCTCGTTGCAACTTTAAGCGACGTTCTTCCCTGATGTTGTCGAACTCCGACACACCGGGCAGCAACTGCGAGGGAGGGGGCGCAAGAGGAGAAGCTTGGTGAGATGGTTGGTGCTGACGGCTGAGGGCAGCGAGTGAGGGATCTAGGCGCGATTCGTCATGGCTGTTGGGGTTGAGGAGAGAAGAGATAGAACTGAGGCGGGCCGGAGGGGAAGGATTGACAGAAGACATGATCGGAGGAAGTTGATTGGACCCGTTTTCCAAAGTGGTCGGGATAGACAACGCTTCTGCTGATGACGCGGTTTCTGCAAGGGTGCGTTTCTTCGGATTACCCGAGGGATTTGGCGAAAGAGACCGTCGACCAAACTGAGACACCGGAGAGTGGCTTGGAGCGTTGATGCGATCCGGCTCTAACAATCTTGGTGGCGGGGGATGGTGCGGTAAGGAGACGGGGCCGGAACTAAATCCGGTAAAATCGACAGGCGGGGGTGCAAAGCCAAATTGCTTGGGCGCGGCCGGTGAAATCCTGTCTCCGGACATCGGTCCATAGTGATCCACCGGCTCAGAGCTGTAGTAGCGGTAGTGATCGTCGTGGACGCGAGCCAACGTCGCTGGGGAGGCCTCTGGCGACGCAGAAGAGCCATTCGATGACTGCGTGGCAGCAGTCGGGGAGTGTTCCCGCAGCGCCGGCACAACGCGTTTTCGACGCTTGATTATGGTCTTCTTCATTGTGGTGGGGCGATAGCACCCGTGGAGCTTGTAATATAGACCTAAAGGAATGTTAGCCGCTTCAGGGCTCGTTTTGATTCCCGAGATAAGGCAAAAGAACATACCACACGCATTGCAGATCGGATGACCATTCTCGTCTCGTCGCCAGAGCGGGGTCACAGTAGTTCCACAATTCTGACACGATACCAACATGTTTCCCTCGGCCGACGCACCACTTTTTCCGGGTACGTCCGGTTCCTGTGGTGGCAGAGGCTTTTCGCTATCTGGATTGGCGGGTCGACCCCAAGCGTGCACCGGCACAGTCCCTCGGGCAGAGGACTTGTACACGC